GTGTGTTCAGAAGCGAGTGAACTTTATCACCTACTTTCAACTCAGCAACCAGGAAAGCTGGGAGGCTGAAATCTTGGGGTCATATTCCCATCCCATGTGTCACCCTTCTGCTTTAAAATCTTCGCTCATACGCATTTGCATCTCGCATTCGTGCGCCTGAAAGAAATGCGCAGATTTCTTCGGTGGGAAACGATTTCGTGAACCAAAAAAGATAGAAAGCTGAAACTTAACAGAGATATTCTCTGTCTATGTGTGGCTAAAGATTTCAAATTCAGCTATCGCACACGCTTATACCACGCGTACGTTAAAGTACGCAGTTTGGCGCTATGATAACTCGAAAACTAGTCGAAAAATGCGGCTGAAATATTGTCGGAGTATTTATTGTTCATATGTAAACCGTATTCTTAAACTGAGTTTCGATTTGCACTTGCGCTACGACTTAGGGCAGTTCAAAGATATTTGTAGCGAAGTGGCTGTTTCGCATACTAGAGAAGCTGCGAAGCTAAAACTTTGCAAGGATATTCACGTATAGTCTTAATTCAGTTTGGAGATGAAATTTTTTACACGCAGACATGATAAACACTCAATTTTATAGCAAATCCAATGCATTTTGCAAATTCCTTAATCCTCTCCTGATTTCCTTCAAATCTGCATTTTTTCAATGAACGAGCATTCACGGGAAAAACGACCGGGCTTCATGCAAACTCAGACTGGGGCGCACCAGGCAAGCCGTGCGAACATGCGTTTTTGCACTTTTCGTGCCGTAGCAAGATCGCAAGGAAACACAGTAACTAGTCTTGTGACACACTGGCCCTAAAAGTTCGGTAAGTTAATCATGCAGCTATGTGGCATGTCAGTTTTAGATGTTAACTTTAGCAATCCGAAATGGAAAGTTGCTGGTTCGCGAAAAGGCTCCACTAGAAGAATTAAATTCGAAATCTTTTGGCCGCACATGAGTATGAAACAATCCTTAAAAATTAAAGACTTCCAGCATTTCTCGTTTTGGAGTTAGCAGTTTTCCCGCAAAAATTTCCACGCGCCCGTGCGTGAGTCCCGGACGATTCTAGGGAGCCGAATTTGAAATCTTTTGATTGTACGTGAACAGAGGACAGTTCCCTAAAGTTTCAACTTTCTAGCTTTTTTGTTCCCAAGTTAGCGATTTTCCCGCCAAAACTTTCGCGTGTCCGTATATGTGTCCTGGACTCTTCTAAATAGTTGATTTTGGTCGTACACATGTAGGAATAATTGCTCTGAAGGTCTAGCATTCTAGATTTTCTCGTTCCCGAGTTAGTAATTTCCCGCCAAATTTTCCACGTGTCCATACGGGGGTTCGGGCCGTTCTGAGGAGCTGAACTTGAAATCTC